ATATATATATATATATATATATATATATATATATATATATATATATATATACTGTATATACATATGCATGTATGTATGTATGCATATCAATCTCCATAGATTCAAAAACATGTTCCAAAAAAAAAAGTTTTTCACTGTAAATTATACAATGGCTTGTTCGTTCACTTCCACAAACTGAATATTTAACAGTTTATTACTGTAAAAATACATGAAATGTGAGGTTTATCACATTACAGTTTTTCACTGTATATAATAAAGGAACGTATGGTTAACCAGTTTTTTTTTCTATAGCATTTTACAGTTAAAATTGCAATTTTTTTTACAGTGTATACAGTACGTAACGTCTAGCAGAAAAACATTGTTTTGGTTGTGATTTGGCTGTACATCTTTATTATAGGTTTATCAAAGTGTATCCAAAGTAAAGACACAGTTTGGAAGATGGATTTTTATTTTTACTCTCTCATTAATAATATAGTTGTTTTTTAATCAAAAATGCTATAATAAACAAACACCAAAATCTGTGGAGCTTCATGTGGCATGGGATATAGTTATTAGTTTTTCTGACTGAGTCTATGTGCTCTGACAATTCTGGTATTTTAATATACACATCCTCATGAGTCAGATGTCCCTGTTTTTTTGCTTTAGGTCACTGAATAACCCCATGAACCCACATGCATTTAATAAAGTCAGATGTTCAACTCTGCCGTTTCTCAACCCACTGGAACAATATGTGGGCAATTGAGAGAAGATTGACCATGACTGGATCACACCTCATTCACACTTGAATTACGAAATACTGCAGCTATCACTGTCTGTAAATAATGTATGTAATTATAATATATGCAATAAAATGTCATTGATAAATCTATAAATCAATGTGTATATATATATATATATATTTACAAAACTATTCAGCCAAAGGACAATACTGGGGGTTTATGAACACAAAGTGCAGATTGTTTGGCAGAGAGAGTTGTTTCAGCTTCTGTCAGGTCAGCAGATATACAGTAGAAAGTGCCATTGTATTGTGTTAAATGGGTTAGATTGTTGAGATCTCAGGTTTGGCATTTTCTTTTTAGCTGTTGGGAGGAAATAAGTGTTCTGTGCAAACAATAGAGAGACCAACACTGCGCTTTCCACCTGATGGTGTTGTTGTCGCCTTTCTACATCCCTACTGCCGTGTTTTGAAATGGATTTTAGATTCAGACACTGAGAGCAGGGGAATCATCGCAGGGGACAACATCCTCTGATGTCTGCTCTCAGCATAATTTTTTAGTTTACCCAGTGGACCAATTTATGCATCATATACAGGGATCGGTGTTGTTATCTAACTAGAAAGGATCAGAGTTTGCTCTCTTTTGCAAGCATCAGCTTTTATTTTCTTGCATTCCTCTGAAATGGTGCTCATCTGTCTTTAACAACCCGAAGCTATGACTCACAGACAGCCGTAGTTGAAGCTTGTTGACAGTCAGCAATGTTAGTTGATATGAAAATATACCCAATAATAAGGCAAGAGAACCCTATGGATTTTTTAGTACACTTAAAAAAACATAAAAGTTGACAGCAAAGAAGGAAAAAACAATAAACCTGCATATAGTTAAAAAAAAATACTCACAATACCGTAGTTTAAAAGCATGTAAAAAGAAAAAAAAAACAGATTATGAACATTTTCAGAAGTTATTGTTATATAGAACATGGGCCAGCATAATAAGCTTTATTGGATTCTTTATCCTGTTTTAAGGATTATCTGGTACCTAAGAGGATGTAGCCTATTAGTAAGTCAAGAACAAACTCTTTGTGAACAGCTGCCAGATTAAAAAAACACCAGCACCTTGGTGACTGTTCTTCTCTTGGTTAACTATTAGGTTTTATGATTTGTTGCCAGCACGCTGGCTAAATGTGCCAGCAATAACAGACTGTACAAAGTTTTGCAGAAAGCTTACACAAGCCAATATTTAAGTGCTTGTTTGTGTGGCCAGGAAGCAAGGTGAAAAAGTCCTAGAAAGACAAGACAGGTAAAATCCATGCTCAGCTGGTCTTCTGGGTAATCTGTGCTGACAGGCTGGGCATCTGAGAAACCCGGCAAGCTGACAGGTTGCCCATCCAGCACTGTGTGGGGGACAACCACACTTGTCAAAGCATATAATGTGTAAAGCTCTTCACTTTAGGGCAGGGATATTTTCTGAGAGGAACACATGGAACTCTTAAAAGCAAAGATACTTCATGAAAATGAACAGAAAATACCCTTTACTGTAGTCATGCATCTCAGATTTTCATGTCCCACTGAAGCCGGAGCCAAAATTCATCACTTATCTGGTGTCGCAGCAGACTGACCAGGGTTAGAGATGGGTGTCGAAAGGGTGGCAAAAAAAGCTCTTTGAGCGCCAAGACCTGCAGACATCTGATGACGTTCCTTTCACGGCTATAAGTGGCAAAGTGTTAGATTGTTGGCAAAGGGAGCCGCATCCTTTACAAACTGTAATTACGGAGCATGTGGCAGTGATTTGGACAGATAGCAGGTGGAGCAGGAGGACAGCCTGTCACCGATTTGTCAGCCAGTCACTGCCACACAGGGCTTGGCTCCGGAAAACGCAGATAATAGTCGACTTACGAGCGGGAGGCAACGTTCCCTGAAGAGGAGACATGTGAAAGATGGAGGCATGCGTCAGTCTGAGGTGAATGTTTTTCAGACTGTCACTCCGGGGTGAGGATTCAAATGAGGAGATGTGAAAAATGCTTTGTGGGTAATTGAGTGAAATAACCACATATGGATCATGAACCACATGACTGATGAAATTAATATGAATATGGAGGGAAAAAAACAATGCCTCCAGTGGTATTCAAGCATACGTGTGAAGCATGCATAGGAAAGCACTTGTAACAGTTTTAAAATAGTCTGTTTTATTTCATATACAAATTTTGTAACTGATATTTGGATGGGTCAACACGTCCACAATAACGATATAGAAAATGTTTGGTCATCATATGTGTAACTACATAAGGCATACAAAAGACAGCAGGCTACATGACAGCAGTAGAGTATAGTACTGCTGGGGACTGGTATTATTATCCCCTACACGGCAATGAAAATGATGTAGTCTGTCTACTGCTATTTTCAGTACTCTGTATTATATATGATGCTCATCCAAAGCATCACGTAGATGTCTTGAGGGGTTTATGCTTATATGCATCATGTGGTTACTCCAGACAGTTAGCCTGACTGATCCAACAACATGGTTTAAAAGCTGTAGAAAGTAGTAGTCAGAAACACTTTTGTTAACTGTGTGTTTAGAGATTTTTTTTAAGAACAAAAAAGATAGATAGATAGATAGGAACTCATTCAATGGTTCCTTAAATAACTTGTTTCAGTAGTGCTGACCTTGTCGTATAACAGTAATACAGTTAATATAATAACGATAATACAAAATGATCAAGTGAAATTCGTAGATCATGAGCTGTGGTTTTAATTTCTTCCCTAGAATGAAAATCTATGATATTTTGATGCACTGTAATATATTGGAAGACTCGTACTGGGTATATAAATATGACTTTTTTCCACCACAACCAATAACTGTATCTATTGTGCAAACTCATAACAACTTTGTGCAAAATTGTGGAAAAGTGGCTCTTGTTTTCTATAATAAAGTCTCGATATCAGCATTTGTAAATATAAAGTCCAAAAACATCTCAACCCACTGACACCAACACATAAAAGCATTACACAAAGTTCTCTATGTACACAAGTAATGCAACAGATACGTATTTCATATTAAAAACGCTTATTTTAGGAGTGCACAGATACACATAAAATATATCACAAAAGCTTCTCACGTAATCAAACTCAGTGGCCTAGTGTGTGACTGGTAAAAATTAAACATTCGCTAATCAAGTTAGCCATCTTTTTCTTTCCTTTGTTTTAACCCGACATGAATTTGAAGCTACATATAGTGAGTGTAAAGGTTGGCAGTTTTTGTGCCTCAAAGTGGTAAAGGACATGTTGTGCTATGCCTGAGACAATCTATGCAAATGTTACTGTGAGCTTGTGAAAAGCGCTTCACACCAGGTCCATGAGACATCTAGAGCGTTGAGTCAGATCTGTCAACAACACTGGGTTCTTCTGATACTCTGGGAAGATGGGGTCAAGTCTTCTCTGTAGGTTCAGACACTGCAGTGTGTTGAACTTTTGTCTCTTGTTTCATCCAAATGTAGTTTAGAGCTTTCGGAAAACAGTGTCTTATGAGCAGTGTTGAGAACTCTGTTATGAGGTCACCAAGGAGTAGATCATACTGGAAGACAGAACAAACAGGTGTTACTGACTTTGTGTGCAAAAGTTATACTAAAATAAAAAACTATTGAGTAAAATCTGATGAATGTTGTTCCGAGTCACTAACAACTTACACAAGATCTTGGTTGTGGGCCATATTCAAAGTTATTTTGATCTGTTTACTTGAAGGTGGCAAATGAGCTATTTAAAATGCCCATAGAAGAAACACCAGAAGTAGTTTATGACGTCCATCATGCACTCATGATTTCAGTGAGCTGTGATTAATTAAATCAGTCAAACAAATTTCAGAGTTTATGATTTATCTTAAAGACCAAAGTTGTAGTGAAAGCATCTGATATTAGAAATTCATTGAGATTTGTAAATAACAATCCATTTGACATTATAAATTAAACAGAACAACCAAAAAAACAACTAGATTTCTATATTTTCTGAAGAAAATTAGTGCTTTCTATAAATAAATAGAGAAAGACAGATGGAATTAATTTTAATTAATTTCAGAATATTTTATTACATCACTCCCATCTCTTGCATTGAAATGGGGACTTCTCCCTTTGTGCACGTTACTTTTCGATTCTGATGAAACGAGTTTGTGCCAGTGGGGGCTGTCAGGGAACAGCTTTAATTAGTTCATTTCTCCCTAGCTAAAAACAAACACAAAGATGCATTTTGTCCCCAAATGCTGATAGATGATTATCTCTTGTGTGTGTAAACATACTTGGTAATAAAGCTCTTCTGATTCTGATTCTGATTCTGAAATTATCCAGCTGAAACCGCAGCATTCATCCTCAGCTGGTGGAAATATAAAGCGAGAGGCTTCAAAGCAGCTGATGCTATGGAAAATGACAGCTTCACCAGCTTGAGGATCACTCCAGGCAGGTCGTGTATGATATGGATTGTATTTATTTAGAATGCACTGCCATATGTTGAATTTCTGTGCTGACTTCACACTAGGGGCCATTGATGTCATGCCAGAATGCTGTCCACAGGCATTAATACATAATAAGGGGTTGCCCTGATAAAAACTGCATAAGCAGTTCTTGGCTCGCTGTGTCTTATTATTTTCAGTGTCTGGGGGTTGGAAAAGCAGCGGCGTGGATCCTTTTATATTCCTAATCTTTTAAAAAACAAAGCAGATCTATTGATGCTCTTTGGAATTATATCACTGCTGCATATGAAGCATATTTGACTTCAATCGAAAATGTTTTTCGAACGTTGAGTGTCATGATTATATTCAGTGCACACAGCTAAAGTCTTATCCCAAATCTAAAGATGTATTATTAAGGACTGCAGCTTATCTGTGTCCTGAAAACACAATTTTAGTGTTCGTGTTAAAAGTGGCAGATCAATGAAAAATGTATTTCAGCTATGATCATAGATATGATCCTGATGGAGCCTGAGGCAAACAATGTTCCTTATGCCTTTGCAATCTTTATGAAGCTTCAACACATGAGAACTAGTGTGATGTTTGGCCAAATCTCTCTCTTTCACTTCTGCTGAAGTGGCACACTCCTTTCTTGAGTCATTAGGTTTGAATGGTGTTTAGAAAAAAGGAATGGCAAACCTACTATTGTAATTGGATGGGTGATGGCCTGGTGCGCTGATATTGGATTTGCAATTGATTTGTAAGATTGATTCGTGAGAGGGAGCACAACATTGTGGTTATTACGAAGGGTTAGAGTACAAACAAAGTTTGAAGATCAAGCCACAGGGGTTAAACTAAGGCTGGCAAATGGGCAGCATTCATCAAATCAGACGTTATATAAGAATTTATAAGAAGGGTCAGCCCAAGTTTAGTTTTGCTGAAAGTTAAGATTAAGTTAAGCATTATATTATTTACTACAGAAATGAATTAAAACTCATCCCTTAGTTCAAAAAAGTTAAAAATAAATCAAATAAAAGTAAACTGTGATAGCATCCAGAGACTTAAAAGGCCAAAATGTGATGCTCATATTTTTAAGCACTATAAAATGTTCTATAAAATTCTATAAAATATTCTAGTTATAGTTTTCCAGTTACTCTTTGGTAACTCACATTCTTTAAAATATCTTATTTTGTGTTCACCAGAAGAAATAAATTCATACAGGTTGAAACAACTTGAGGGTGAGGAATTGATCAAAGAAATTTTGGGTGAACTACCCTTTTAAGTTTAAGATTAACTGGAACATGCCTTTAAGAAGGTAGCAATAAAAAGCAAGCAATTGACCCTTTGCGGGGAGTTTGATTGACAGGCGATCTGACCAATCATAACGCAGAATCTGCCATTTATGTCCAGCAAACAAACCAGACAGGAGAATAGATTAACATCTTGACTTGAACTTGAAAAATGACGTCTTGACGTCTTTCCGCGGTTGAAACAAGATACCTTCTGATGTTCATTCATGTTCATTTCATGCTATAACTAGTAAATACGAAAAGGTGATCAGTTCATGTGCTGATTGAACTGAGGCGCTACATTGATCTGTCTCGACACATTAAAAAGCCATAAAACGGTATTTATTGATTGAATTTCTTAAAAAATGAAAAAAATTGAAAGCTGGGACTTTGTTTAATACCTAAAGTAACCTGCGCTGTCTTGGCTGTCGGTGCGTTGTCAGTGTCGTCTTTGCTCCACAATGTTTTTTTCACTACATGAGAACATGATGTGTGGCGTGAGAGTACCATGGATTGCCGGACATAGCAACAGTAACGAAGGGAGGCGGGTCTTATGCAAAGGGTCAGTTAGAGGAGGGGGCAAAGGTCAAAGTTACAGAGACCATTGATGGAGACCTTTGCAATATGCTATGAAGGGAAGTAAGACCTGTGAATGTTTCACAATGCGTGGCACAATTAGGTGAAGTTTAAGTTTTGCATAACCACTGAGAATAAAAGCTTCAACTCACTACCGTCACTTTTCAAAGAGTGGGTGAGTACAAAAGCCTCTGAACAAAAAGGCTGTATTTGTCCTAGAATTTCAATTCCAGAAGAAAATAGCATTAAATAATGCAGAACGTGGCTGGTGCACAACAATTGCCTTTGATCTGACAAAAGGTCATAAGGCCTGTTCGCTGGAAGGGTGAACCTTTATAGAATATGTGCGTTTTTATATGTGTACATTTACATTTAATGTGACGTGGTATAGTGTGGAGGCAAAAAGGAATTAGGGAATTCTACCCAAAGGGTAGGCGCCATCCAAGTGCGTCCTTGTCAGTTCAAATGCTTGTTTATGTATACAGTATATCTCTGCTATGCTATAGGCTTAAGGTAGCTTATACTATAGTAAAGGCACACACTAAAAAGCATATTTGGCTGTAATTATATAAAAATCAGTGAATACATTGCACAGAATCCCATTAGTAGTTAAGTTTGAGACAATTGCTGGATATCTACTCACCAGTAGAGATAGTAGAAGAACGAGAGGACAAAGAAGGACATCTTGCACCAGGCTTCTTTTTGGCAGAATTTGAGTGTGTCTCCATTCATGACTGACGCTGGATCGTAGAGAAGCTCCTTAGTGTCTGTGGGGCTGTGAAAGTACCTGCCGAAAATGGGAAAAAACACGAGCCGGGTAGTGCGTCTTGAAACATTAAGTGCACCTTTGTTTTAGTTTTTCGTTTGCGTATCATTTAATTTAATTTAATTCATTATTTTATTAATTTTATTTTGTTTAATTTAACTTTATTTATTTTTATTTTTATATTTTATGTTTAATTTAACTTTATTTATTTTTATTTTTATATTTTATTTTTTAAATTTGTATATATTTGTATTTTTTTAATCTAATGCAAAGTTTAGCTTGTCTAAGCCTCTTTAATTTAAATATTTCTGTCAATCTTGGCAGTCCTTGGAGATGGATGATTTAAATATAGTCTGTAATTGTAAAACAAGGAAAAACGTCATCCCTGGTGCAATAATTCTATTAGGGAAATCGAAAACAAGGAGTGGAGGTTGAAGCGCATTAGGAGGAAAAAACGTGAAAGAATTAGAGCAAAACAGAGGGAAGAGCAGAGTGACAGTGCATTATAGCAGCATCATCGGATCTGTTAAAGAAAGGTACATTTCTTAAAAGGAAAGCAATAAATCTGATAAGCAAAATTATTGATAGCAAGTTCAACCAGCTAATCAGACATAACTTCATAACAATATTTAAAATCCACTATTACTATGGTACTGATTAAGTTCAGTGTTTCATCATCCTGCAAAAAACAAACAAACAAACAAACAACAGAACGATCTTTCATATTCTGAGGATGGTGGCAGAAATTGACAACAGCTCTGAACATTCAGTAACAAACCCCGAAGAAAGATTTAGAGCTCCACTGCAAAATGACTGAAACTCATTTTATCCCAGTTATGATTTCCCCAGTTGTTTCACTGTGTGATAAAACAGTCAGTCTGCTATTATTCATCTAGAAAAATTTGGAAGACTAATGCGCAGTGACAAGATTATAAAGACACTGTGGCAAGAAGCTTAATATAGGAAAATTAGGAATGGGATTGATCTGAGCATTGATAATAGTGATGCATGTAAAGCATCCATAAAAACGTCTAGGTTACTTGTGTAACCCTCGTTCCCTGAAGGAGGGAACGGAGACGTTACGTCAGTGACTGACGAATTGGGATCTCGCCCGAGAGCCCAATCACCTTCGAGTGTTAACTAAACAAGCCAATGACAGTTGGCGTGCGTGTTTCGCCACGCGCACCCCGCCCCGCAGCGCGGGTATAAAAGGAGAGCGCGTGCAAACGCACATCAGTTTTTCGCTGAGGAGCCGAGACTACGTGCCCCGGCCGTACAGCGGTGGTACAGCAACTGTGGCAACGGAACGTAACGTCTCCGTTCCCTCCTTCAGCCCCCAGGAACCAATCATCCAGCCTCGAGCGTTCGGGAGAAGGCGGAGGCCTCCAGTGCAGCCCGACGCTCTCAGCGGCCCGGGAAAGCATAGCGGTCAGCTCTGGATCTGACTCGGGCAACGCCACTCTACCTGACGGTGGCAGCGCAGCCGAATCCTCATCTCCAGAGCCTAGCTCGCCCTCCGATGCAGCGACCGACATCCTGTCCTCTGCCTGTGCCCCGCACAAGATGCTGGACCCCGCCCTGTCCGAGGACCCAGCACGCTCGTCCGGAAGCACCAGGTGGTGCGACATGCTCGAGGAATGAGAGGCCCGCGGAGACGTACTCGACGGGGAAGCTCTCACCGTCACCCTCAGGTCTCCCTGACCATGAACCGAAGTAGCCCTCCGAGAACCAGAGGAGCTAGAGCGGGGCATGGCAAGGGGGATACCCCCCCGTTTAATGAGGAGGTATCTGGACCGCAATGTCGCGATGGTCATGTTCCCGCAGTGAGAACATGACTCATCCATGAGCGCTGCTTCAGCGTGCTGTAAGCCCAAGCACGAGAGGCAGTGATCATGACCGTCAGATGAAGGCAGGAAATGACCGCATCCAGAAACGCACGAGCGGGAAGCCATCTTTAAAAAGACGCCCGTCGCTCGTGAAGCTCTTTTAGATTTTGCTCTTTTAGAAGGAAACACTCTTTTAGTGAAAGCGCTGAAGCGCCCAGGGGAGGTCGCGGCGAGACCGCAGAATGAAAGCTGCAGCCCGCCGAGGTTTCAGCAGCCTGGATGGCAACCCCCGCTGATACGCCGTCACACCAACGCCAGCTGTTTCTCGAACACTCGCGGAGATTCGTCCTGTAGAAGGCTCGGCTCCGAAGCGAAAAGCTGATGTGCGTTTGCACGCGCTCTCCTTTTATACCCGCGCTGCGGGGCGGGGTGCGCGTGGCGAAACACGCACGCCAACTGTCATTGGCTTGTTTAGTTAACACTCGAAGGTGATTGGGCTCTCGGGCGAGATCCCAATTCGTCAGTCACTGACGTAACGTTGAACGTGACTGACTGAATGGGAACACTGGTTTACAAGAAAACATTACATTTTTAATATTTATTATTTTATTATTAATTTAGCAAGAAAATTAATATGAACCGTTTCTTCTTTTATTTATTTAATTGTTTATTTATTTTTAAGCAAAACATTTTGGACATAGCTCATCACTCATTCAGTCAAGCAGAGCTGATAATAATGGCTTTTTTTATTTTTCCATGACTATAATTAGCTGTTTTGTACTTAAATAATCATAAACTGGAGGTATATTAATATCAGAAGTATTCCTGTCTATAGAGTCTAGGGGCTGTTTATAGAGTCAAGGGCTGTCTTGGGGACAAGTGTGATTTCGCAGGACACCTGTTTTAGTGAAAGCTGTCAGGTAGTAGGCACATAGCTTGTTTAAGAGGAGTAAAGGCTGGTTCAGGTGCTCACCTCCATGTGTTGTAGAAGAGCAGAGGGATATTCAGGCCTACAGTAAGCCACTCCTGAGCACACAGGAACATGATACAGAAGAGTCCATGGATAGAGTACTCTGGAAGCACCAACTAAAGAGAACACAGATAAATAACTTTTAAAAACAATTTATTTTGTTGGTGCCGATAGCCTCGTGGTTAGTGTGTTGACATAAGCTCAACTGTGCTCGTGGCGACCCGAGTTCGATTCCCATCTCAAGGTCCTTTGCTGATCCTGCACCCCCCTCTCTACCCAATGCTTTCCTGTATCCTCTAAATGGTCCTGTCCATTCAATGCATGAAAGCTCCCTTTCCCCCCAGATGTATGGATTTTTCTTTGATTCATTCTTAAAGGTATAGCTCACCCAAAAGTGAAAATTCATTGTTTACTTAGCCGTATGTCGTTCCAAACTAACTTTTTTGGTTTTGTTTTTGTTGTTTTTTTGTTCTACTCATTTTAAAGAGTTTAAAGAGGATATTTGGCTATGATTATATTATAGAGAATAGGCAGAATATTCTGAACAGCCCTAAGTCAGTGTAGCACCATATTTAAAACAAGGCGAGGGATGGAAGTACAATGGATTGTACTGCTGTTTAACAACATACAGATGTTTTCGAAAAACATTTCAGTAGACAAAATCTCCATAAAACAGTTTTGTTATGTGCTCTAGTAACTTTATACGGTAACACTTTACAATAAGGTTCATTAGTTAAACATTAGTTAATATATTAACTAACATGAACTAACCATGAGCAATACATTTGTTACTGTATTTACTAATCTACGCTAACGTTAGTTAATAAAAATACAGATGTTCATGTTAGTTCACAGTGCATTAACTAATGTTAACAAGATTTTAATAATGTATTAGTAAATGTTGAAATTAACATTAACAAAGATTAATAAACGCTGTATACGTGCAGTTCATTATTAGTTCATGTTAACTAATGTAGTTAACTAATGAACCTTATTGTAAAGTGTTACCCTTTATACAGGGTGTGTGCCATTGTAAAGTCACAGTCTCGTTTTCATCTTCAATAAATTCAGTATGCCATCTAATCTAAGTTCTGTTATCATTTTGGGTGAACTATCCCTTTAAGAAAGGAACTGACTATATTACATTCATATCTGTTGCTCTGGAGAAATTTCAGAGATCAGTGAAAATTGCATTGGATTTCTCTTATATAAGAAAGAGAGATACAACTATTAATTTTTTCACAAAAATTCTAAGACCTGATGAAATAAAAGAAATCAAGAAATCTTATGTGATCACTGGAGTTAACATTGTGAGTTTTAGGACATGGTTTCTAGGTTATGTTAGATCACCTTCAGCTGAGGAAGAACAGGACAATTTGTGGCAGCACTGCTGTGCCAGTTTGCTGTAAATGGACAAGAAAGGGGACTTATAGGGCAGTTTTTTTTTTATTAAGTATTCTAATACCCAAACGACTTCAGATGTGTTGCCCATTCACAGTGGGATTTCCTTTGTAACAAAATCCCATACAAGCACTGACAAATGAATAAAAACACAATAGCAACAGTTTAACATTAAATAAACCTCAGTTAGACTGTATAGAAAATCGATTGCCAAGTATAGTATATATATTTGCAGTATGTAGGACTTAAGGCTTGTAATATTGTAGCCATTAACTCCAGTTTATACCTGACACAGACTGAGGGCTGGCTTCAGTGAATCATTTATCATTTAAGACACAACATCCTAAGGCACAAACCTTTCCTGTGGCGTCCTTTCACAGCAGGCTAAAGGAAATGTGGTTCAGGCCAACCTTTACGTAAGAGGGCTCATTAAAGTTTGACCTGTCCTAGCTATTTAACCTTATTGGCGCAAAAAAAGCCCAAAATATTCCATCAACAATACAAAAATACCCTGGATATAAAAGGAAAATGATAAATGCTTTAAAAAAAATTTATTATCTGTGTAATTCCTATCTGTTCTTATCTTCATAACGAGAAATAATATATATAATGCATAAATAAAAAAAATGTACAGAAATGAAAGACTTTAACATATTTAGCATAGATTCTAGTTACTCAAACCATTCCCTTAGTGTATTTATTCGCTTCAAGCTGAGGCTCATGGATAATTTCTTATCTGGATTCTAGCTTGAATTGTGAACTGCCGCTGGCAAAGTTTCTCATCTAAAACTAAAACTTTCCTTACTAGAATAAATAATCTTCCTCCAGTTGCTTCGCATGGGAGAGTTTGTTGTTAGCATGTTGCTACGCTAATGCATTACTCTAATCAGTAATTCTAATTAGCTTAAGTTTCTGTCTTGAACAAAAAATACATTCAAATTATATATAATGTCTAATGAGCATTCTCTCACCATCTTAGTTTGTTGCAATGCATTTTGGGATTGCATTCTGCATGAGTTATGTTTGTAAAGCTGACTTCAAATTTGGCTGTATACTTATCTTATAAAGCAGCATAATTAAGTTGCTTACCTTTCGAAACAGATTTTTTTGCTCCTATGATGCCTTAAAATTCTGTCACAGTATAGATTTTGGAACAGAGCAACTGAGGGCAGTGATGAATGCTGCATAATCAAGTAAATATGGACTGGCAGCTGGTTTAGAATGGGCCCATCTGGAAGATCAGTCTTTACCGGTTAGACTTCAGGGCTTCTGAATATCTGACTAAATTTAGGCACAATATTTTGTCTATATAATATATTTCAGAGGCACACATAAACAAAAACAGCAATTTTGGGGTGATTTTATGTGTGATATTTATGTGACATTAACTTTTAATCAGCAGGCCAGCTGTGACACTTAAGCCAGCATTAAATATAAATCTGCATAAATAAAGCCATATTATGTGATCAATCTGAATAAAAAGTAAAGAACTTTCTATCTTGATCATTGCAGATGTCCTGTTAAAAATAAGATTGTCTTATAAGTGTCTCAGATTTTATGTATTTTAATGGGTTTAAAATATTTTTTCCCCTTGATTTTGGACTGTATATCAACTATTTGCCTGCATTTTGCTGACTTTGCACACTTGAAGCCTTTGGTGCACATATTTAACCATTCAGTAGGAGCTAGTTTCTCCTACATTTTTTCTATAGCTGTATGATAATTACAAGGCTGTGGTTGAGGACCACTCAAACCGAAGTCCGGGAGCTTTGAGTGATTTAAGTGTAACTTTTAACGTTGCCTTCCCATGGGAATCACAAGAGCCTCTTCGGAGTAATGTCACCTAATGAGAGGTCTGCTGTGGCTGAGTGCTTTTGACTGTGGAGTATCTTTAACATTCTGTCTCCCTCACTCGCTCTCTAACCTTCTGTTCCTATCAAACGCTCACCAGCCTTTCACTGCAGGTCTCTCCAATTAACACTACTTACTACTAATGACATGTCCCACCATTAGTGCAGAATGGAGCGGGCACCAAACCTGTAGATACCGCTTTAATTAGGCGATGTGTCTTGACAATGTATATATTAAGAATGGAGATAAAAAAAGGAATGGAAAAGCGCCACTGATAACATTACATTTTTGTGGTAGAGAACTGACCACAAGAATATAGGGGGTCGGCATACAGTACTTGTACAGTAACTATAAATAAATTCATATATGTTCAGGAACCATTCCCTTTTCACATTTACTTATTACAATGACAAATCTGGCTGCGCCCTCAGATTAGCAGCAGCAAAATGTTCTCAGCCATAGGAGATCAGAAGAGCCGCTAGTCTCCAATTACTGTCTTTCTCTTTCAGCAGCAGCCAATAATTAACTGCAGCAAAGAATTATACATATTTTCTCTTTAAAGAACACCTATCCCCATGAGACTGGATAGCATAAGAACTGGCTCTCAATTTAACTATTCAGAATGTGATTATCACCATTTTGAATACTGTATGGCTGTGTATGGCACCCTTCCAGGTAAAAAAAAAAATTTAAATGAAGCGGGGTTAAACTAAAGTCTGGCATTGGGAATATTGCTATATCTGATGCACTAAGAGAGATTATGTTAATTCTATATTCCTAAAATATGCTTGATGGGCTTGAATTTCTACAAACAGGCATAATTTCTTTTAGAATAAATCAATATATAATGTTAAATAACTGAATAAACTGAAAGTAAAAGTTAAAAAAAATTAATTGTAATAAATTCTATTTTTAAATAAATCTAGATCTATATCTACATATAAACAATAAATATTTTGTAGTACACTGAAAATCAGTTTAGAAACCATTTCACTCAATCGCTAGTAAATTTAACAAATAAAACAACACTTTTTTTAAATTAAATGTTACATTTTGAAGTAGAACATTTTTATTTTTTTACATAAATTGTGCTCTTTGTTTTATTTACAACTTAAAAATACATTATGCTGTTTCTACAATACTGAAATATAATTTCTGTCAGAATAAAACAATATATATTGATATAAATTAATTGAATAATAAATGAAGACTTCAGATGCAAACCCCCCCAAAATTCCATCTGAGATTTTTCTTTTAAATGAGCATTTTTCAGGTTCCTTTTGAAAATAAGGCATTCAATAACTGACAAATCGCCTTTTCATTTCAATTAAAGTGAAATTACTGAACCTAAATATAGCAGACTGATAAAAATACAAATTTAAAAGAAAAAATCTCAGGAAAATCTCAGTCGGATTTAGTTTTTTGCATATTTGCATATTGCATATTTTGCAAATATGAAACGTATGAAAAGTATTCAAATTGTCATAGTAATGAATGTGAAAGAGAATGGTTACTTAACATGTAATGTTAGCCAAAAGTTGACATTAATAATGTCTATTATCAACAAATAATATCTAGTTTGTAGTAATACATTATGCAGTGTTTCTACAATCCCGTAATAAAATCTGTCAGAAGAAAAAAATACATAAAAAATCTAAATGAATGAAATAATAAATAATAAACTTAATTGAAATATATCCAGTTTGCCAGTAATGAATCTGAAAGAGAAGGTTACTGAACATATTAACAAAAAGTTATTGAAATATATGTTTATTTTTGCAGCAGTATTATGCTGTGTTTCTGCAATCCTGCTTTATCCATTCTGCATGCAATAATAATGTGAATTCATTGAATAATCTAAGTG